CGGGCGCTGCTCGAGGATGGGCAAGCAGACCATCTCGCAGGCGGGGAAGAGCCTTGGGACGAGTCAATGGGGATCTCCGGTTGCGCTTTTGGTTGCACGGCGAAATGGGGTGGGTGAACGGTCCAAAGGGGGAAAGCCACTGATCTTTGATTGAATCATATTGAATCTGATGTTGCTGCTGCTCTATGTTGGCTGGGCTACTACGTCCAGGACATGTCATGAAAAACTCACAGCTCTCCTGGCAAAGTGTGTAGGCTAAGAGGAGGACAGCATGATGAAGATTGCCTCCACGAGAGACATGCATCAACCTGGCCAAAGGAATGAGGCTGAAGGTTTACCCAACATATATTGAACAATCAATTTTGTTTGTCAACGAATCTGAACGTCTTTTCAATGGTTGCTTGGGTTCATGAAGTCAAAAGTAAGGGTCATTAAGGGTCATTCATCTTGAAGTTCGGGCCTCCTCTTGCTTTGTAAAAAATCAGAAGCACCGTCTTTACTCCGGTCAGCTGGATCGGGGTAGACGGGTAGACGGAACGGGAGAAGACGGGAGAAAGACGGAGACTGCAAACGAACTCGTGGCGGCCCCCATGCATGGGTTCTGTGGACACTCCAACGCACAAATAGTCTTCAAAAAATCACCCAAAAATACATTCTCCCTCTCCCAAGACAAACACCCCCCTAATGCGTGCATCTCAAATTGCAGTGTTGTTTTTTCAAAGTTCCAAAAAGGTATCATCTGTACCGTAGTACAGTACGTGTTTTTCACGTTCTGCTCCAAAAAGCGTCTCTAGAGATTCTAGAGATCTTTTGAAAACCATCACCGTCCATCATCGCGTCCATTGCCCACTGAGCCCGAGGCACCCCACCGCCCCCGCGGCCCGTTGCGCCAAAACGCGCGTGGGCCTGGACCTGAGATCGCCACTTGCAGCAACCTCACCAGGATCGAAGACCGTGCCGAACGGTGCGGGGACGAAGGCGGAAGGGCCGTCGGGCACGGCCCGACCGGGTCGTTGAGTCCGGGGGGAGCTCGGAGGGTCGGAGGGTCGGCGCAACCCGTGGTCCCGCAACACGAGATCGACTTCTTCAGCTGCACTAGTGGACCTGTCCCAGGATTCTTTCACAAATCCCAGTCCTCCATCCCGGATGGTCGGTCCGGTAGAACATCCCTCCCTGAGATGCCAAAAGAAAGGATGGTCTCCAAGACGTGCCTCCAGCAAATCATGAAGCTCCGCAGCTTGCGCGGGTGCTGTTGCTGTTTTCCGTGTTTGCTCCTCTTTTTGTCGACTTTTCTCTGTGCTGTGCTGCTTGGTTTCGTGCTGTTCCGTGCTAATCCGCCACAACAGCTTTCATAAATCCCCTTTTTTCCGCGCCGCGGGAACTTGGATTGTCTGGCTCAAAAATGCGCTTTTGGGTGCTCTCTTGGTTCGACTGACGTGGAGATGGTGTTGCTTCCTTGCAGAGGGAGTCATCAGGGTCTTACAAACATACTGGTCACATGCAACCACCGGACAAACAGGTTCATCACCAAAGGATTGCTTACATCCCTAGGCTCACAGAAGGAACATGAAGGAATCATCAGGTTTCAATGGGATCTCTATGATGTTCATCTAGCTGATCCCACACCTTGACCCGTTCATTTGGTTGGGGCTCTTCCTTTGAGAACCCCCCTTGAGCAGTAGCAGCTCCCAGCCGGCGTTCAACATGCCAGGCTCAGTTCCCAGAATCTTGCTACAGAAAGCAGGACTTGTCCGGAAACTTGACACATGTCACATATCCCTACAAGGGACGCACTTTGCTTGGACACTTCGTGGTCTCTTCCGATCGGAAGACGAACAACACCTCCGACTCACTGCTCGTGGGAGATGCACGAAGCGACCTCAGAGCCAGCTTGCACTTGCGACTCAAAAGACACCAGGATGCTCTCTCATCCAAAAACTGGAAACCCTGGAGTAATTGAAACCAAAACTGGTGACCTTGAGGAATCTTCGCGACCAAAACGTGTCTTACCCTGTGAGCCCTTTTTGGTATTGCGCGGCCTGAGTCTCCGCTCCTTGAATAGTCTAGTGTGCATACTTGTTGCAGTTCACATATAGACTGGACAGGGTCTGGCCCAAACAATGCAAACTCTGCCCTTGGCCGGCTGGCCCCAAACCAAGTCCGGAGCCAGGTCCACAATGATCCATAATGCAAGGGCGCGTTAACTTTGGCGCAAATCACCTTGCACCAAACTCTCAATTTGAAGACGAAACTCAAGATCAAACTCAGCCAATATAAACGATCTACGATTCCACGAGACTGAAGATTGGAAGAAACCGGTGCAGCCCAAAGAGGGGAAGCTTGGAAACTGGGATTCAAACTCAACAGAAACCCCCTGGACGGCCACGCTAGAGAAAAACAAGTTCGGATATTATCCCGAAAAAATGTTCCTCAAGGTCACTGAGAAAACAAGAAAACACGGTGCATCAGTCATTAGTCTGCAAGCAGAATGCAACAGATTTCAATGAAGAAACGTTGAAGCCAAGCATATTAACGCACGTTGGAAATTTGGCTTGGACACTCGGTAATGTAAGACTGGTGAACATTTTTTTGCTAGGATTCCTTGCACACCGGCCTTGTGCATAGCCAATGGCAGAGCTGAGAGCCATTCAAAGCACCCGAAAAGCCATCGGTAGAAAAGAATTTGGTTGAAAACCTTTTTGGCATTCCTCGCCCAACCTGATTTGGGCATGGGACAGTTCCAAAAAAAAATTGACACTTGAAGGCATCTTGGTTTGCAACAATGTGCCATGGAGTGGGCCTATCCTATTACGAGTAACAGTGGATGATGATGGCTAGTAAAGGCCTTGTTCAAACATAGTGTTGATTGTTCACTGACTGTTACAGGTAATAGGACAGACCCAAGCCAAAGATATGAACCAATTTCAATACCAGAAAGCTGTTCAACAGGACCCAACCTGAGCCAGAAGTATCGCCTAAACACTCCCACTCGCCAGGCGCCACCAGACCTTGATATTGGTCATTGCCCAGGCTTCCAGGCTTCCTGGCGGTCAAAAAGCAGGAAGCGACGAGAGCAAGATCTAGGGAGACCTCGACCTCCGGGTTCAGGAACGCTTGGGCATCCAAGACAATGTCTGAGGCCCCCATCCATTCAAGGCGACGTGGCGATCCCAGGCTTGGAAAATGACGGGTTCAAAGGACAGCTCACTGACTTGGGCATCTCTAAAATGACCAACAACTCGTCAGACGGAGCGGCCTTCTGATCGCTTAGGATCAGTGAACACAATGCACCCACACGGGACGACACTGGAAAGACTCAAGTGCACTGCAGGCTGCATCTTGCCTGGGTTGCTAGTTATGTTGCGTTCTTCCGATTTCTGAGCACTCAGTGATCACTTTTCTTCCGCTGCAACTTGCAGGTCCAATAAACATGAAGACACCCTGGTCATCGACGGGATCATACCATGATACCTCGCCGGTTTCAGGGCGCCCAAAAGCTTTCAAGCCAAGCACGGACATGAGAAACCGGATGGGTCAGCCGCTGCGTTCAGTTTGAAAGCTCGACACGAACTGCCCGAACTCTTCCTCGGTGAAGAGAGCTCGTTTGATTCCGTCGCGAGCCAATTTGATCTTCTTCAGCTCGTCCTTCAAACTGTCTGCCTTCTTTTGGAACTCCTCAGTAGCCACCCCCACATCAAGATTGTCAGGCAGCTTCTTCAACTGACTTGGCGTCGGAAGAAGGCGCAGGAACATTGCTTCGGCCCGTTCAATGAACTCCTTCATCCTCTCATCCGGGCAAGCAATACTGGTGGCAGTGCAATGAAGCCAGGGGCTGTCCACATCGGTAAAGCGAGACGCAAGCCACACGGCTTTCTTTTTCATAAGGTCCTCTTGTTCCTCGAACAGATTCTTGCACTTCTGCATGACAGCGTCAGTAAAGGCCTTGTAGCGACAAAGCTGAATGAACGGAGTTCCTTTCAGGATCCTCCTCAATTCCTGCTTCTGGGGGGGCACTCTTTCCAAAATACCGTCTCCTGACATACTGGCAGGTCTGCATGCAGTAGCTGCCCGCTGCTGCCGCAATGGAGGGTTCTTTTTCAAGAGGAATCTCTGCTTCGAGGATCGACTTCAAGTGATCCAGAAAATGCTCGGAGACTCGCTGTACAGGAGCAAGAAGTTCAGTCTTCAATGCTTCTCGAATCTGATTGAGGCGTTCGCCTTGCGAACATGCATCAACTTCACCGTTGGTCAGCCTCATCAGGACTTCTTGGGCTCTCTGCCTCATCGATTTCAGAATTGTCTCCCTGAACTCCAAGTACAACTGCTTCACGGGTGCATCCGGGCCATCATCACTGAAGCGCTTCTCAACCTCTTGCTTGGCGAGCTGGTTTTTCGCTTCAGTCTCTTCCACAACTCCCAGCTCTGTGAACTCAACCTCTTTGTCCTCCAGTTTTTGGAGGACCTTCCCCATCGCCCCTGCTTTCCATGTGCTATGCAAATAGTTGGAGTAAGCCTCCTCCAAATTTCGAACCAAGCAAGGGATGCCTGCGCACTCTTTCTCAACAAGGCACTTCAAGTCGGGACCGCCATGTTCGAAGAACTCTTGCTCCCTTTGAGATTGAAGGAAGAGCCGCTCGAAATTGTGTGTTTGGAGATGTTTTTCATTGGGAGCCTTCAACATGCAGGTCACCCAGCTCCTCAAAGCAACCCTTCCCAGAACCTCCGCCGTTTCTCCATCATCACAAGGTTCGTTCAGCACTAGAGCGCGCAAGACATCTCTGCAGGATGTCTGGTCACACTTGGAGAAAACTCCAAACGTGCGGCCTTCGAGCTTTTTGTCTTGGATAAAGCGCATTGCCATGTTGGTACTTGGCCGAACATCACCAGAAGCAGGCAGCCAAATACATGCTGTGGTTCCCGGTGCGCTGGTCATAGTCCAACTGCGTCTGAAAGATTTGCTGGTGATGCCTGGCAAGTCAACCAGATCAATCGCACATGTGGATTGTGGTCACCACCAAGAACTTGTTCTCCACAATACCATGATGAAGGCCGCGAGCCAGTTTCTCCATCTGGTCTTGCACAAATCTCCACCCATTCTCCTGCGGAATCTCCATCACACCTCCCTCTGATGGGTTCACTCCATCCATGTCGGAAGAAATGAAGAGCGTTGCCTTGCTCAGACCAGGTGTGCGACGAAGGCGCAAGCAAATGGCCATGCGAGTGCAGAAGCGCCGCTTCCTTGGAAAGATGGGCACATTCGCCAGTTGCTCCAGGATGGTGGACTTCCCCGCAGACTCGTCGCCCACCACCACGATGCGCGGTGGCCGCCATCCCTCCAGGACGGAGCAAAGTAGGTCTCGGAGCGGGTCCAGTTCTTGAAAGAACCGACTCATAGCCTCGGCCATACTGGAGCTCTTGGCGCCGGTCTCCAAAGTCATCATCCTGATCAGGTGAACATCGAATTCAAGGCTCACATATTATCAAGCGAGCCCGGTAAACAAGTACGGATTGTATGCACCTGCTTCCTAAATCCGCTGAGAAAAATGAACTGTTGTACGCGAGTGTCCGTACAGTACAAGTGTGTTTGGGGCTGGTTGCTCTCAAAGGAACACTCTAACCAACAGCTTTCTGTTTTTGGTACCAGTTCATCGGCGCACCAACGGACCCCGCTATTTTGGTCAAAGCGGCCGGGGGCAGCTAGACCGTTAGACATTGGTGGAACAGTCGCACTCGGTCCTGGCTCTCTTGTGCGGGGGTTCCTCTTGCGAAGGTGCAGCGCTAGAAGGAACCCGCAAGCAGCGCTGTTGCGAAGGGATCAGGCCACCAGAGGGCCAAGAAATCTCTGCTTCCACACCAGATTGATAAGCTTCCTTGTATTTTTCAATGGCCTCCTTCAACTTCGAATTGGGCACAAGCTTCCTTCCAATCTGCTTCTGCGTCTGAGGTGACTTGCTGTCGTTCATTCTGAGCCACATCTCTATCTCTCGGCGCTCATAGGTGAAGCGATCCTCTGCGATGACTGGCTCTGACATGACTTGTCCACTGATGGGACACAGAAAATCAGCTGCCTGTGGGCTCTGTGTCCCATCTTTCCAAAGACGAATGGCCCACTGCAACACCATTTCGGTCAAATCCTTCGCACGCCCCAAAAATACGCCGCTTGAAAGCTGTTTCGAGTCGGCAAATGCGGGTTTCAAGACATGTGGACAGGATCCTCCCTTAGCAAAGGCCTGCAATCTCCTACAATAACTGAATTCAACTCTGCGCTTCCTGCAGTCAGCCGGTCAATTTCATCACGCCTCTTCGGTCTGCAGCATCTGGAGCCGCTCCAAGGACTTGCCTGGCGTTCTGACAAACGAGCGCCGTGCGTTAGGACAAAGGAGCTGCCCAGATATGCCCTCCCACTCTTGCCACTAGGTTGATCCACTGCTCTATAAGGAAGACAAATAATTCAGAGTAACAAGAGTCCAGTTGAAGACAGTACTTGAAGGAAACCTCAATGACCATGATGACCTACTGACATGGAAGTGCCACAAGGATGCCCGGCCACACTGCAAGGCCGCGGCCTTTGGGCTTTGCTTGGAGTGGCAACGGTTCAGCACACAGAACGGCTTGCTCCAGGACAGATGGGTCAAGTTGCGTTACTCCAAAAGATACAAGCTGGTGGGCGGTACTCCAAAATGTGTTGTTTTTAACAATATGGTCCAACAATGCCCCAGCCGGACATGGCGCCGCTGAAGGAAGATCGACCTAGGCTGATGCAATACGATGCAATTTCACAGGCTCGGCCTCGGTCCAAAGGTGTGAAGTTCCACTGCAAGATGTCTCATGGATTTGGAGCGGCGAAGCAGAGTTGCCTTGGAAAAGAACTGGACCCCAGACTTTGGGGAAAGGCATGGGAAGCACGCAAAGAAAAAGACCGAGAAAAGCTGGATCACCTGCGGAGAAAATGACTGAACCCGTTCAACTGTCAGCCATGTTTGCAAACAACGGTAGTCTTCACTGCTGCCTGACGCATCCTCACAGTTGAGAACTTGATCAAAACACAAAGAAGCGCAAGTAGAAGTTAGTCGCACTGGTTCTTGCCCGGTTGGCCAGGACATCTCAGACCCGTGGGCCAATACCCTCTGCGCGTTCTGTTGAATGCATCCATTAGCTTGAGTGGGCAAACAACTAGTTCAATTGAAGTATCCGACTCCAGACTATTGGAATGGGACCCGATGCTGGGTAGGTGTACTCAAAATTGCTTTGAGAGGGCCATTTTGTAGAGATTATTCTTCAGTAGGTGTTCAGAACTGCCGGACACTTAATTGTCATATGGGGAAAGGCTCATCCCACAATTCTTGCTTTGTTAAACATCCAGGCTGATTGCTGAGGGGGCAGATTGACCAACACGCAACTTCAGGGCTTGTCAGGCTGCCTTGCGGAGGTTAATGAAGTCATAGAAGCCGAGCTACAGGGCTCCTGAGACAAGCTCCGGACTTGGAGAAAAAATACTGCTTGTCAGTGCACACCTTTGTCTCAAATGGGTCCAAGATACACCCATGCAGCCCATGCATTCCTAATCATGCTCAGATTCCAACATGTCCCTTCCTGTTCTTTTCAGAACACAAAGTCGGTTCGTGTCGCTTCCAATCATCAGTATAAGGTCTGGTGATATCCAAGAGTTGCCAGGGCGAGACCCAAACGACTGCCCAACAAAGATCCACGGCGTCCCTCAAATCGCTAAAAGCTAGCAACGTCCACAGAACCAATGTCACAAGACTCTCAGAATGCCACAATAGCTGCCTTAGCCCGGCCAAATCATGAAGTGAGCGCAAAGGTCTCCAGCAAGATGCAGATTCCTGAAGAAATCGAAGTCTGCAGAACCCCATGCCTACAAGAAGTCAATTGGTCAAAACAAACGCACAAAGTCTGCTCTGGACAATGTGTTGGCCAGGTTTTGGAGCCTGGCGCACTCCAAGATCTTCCAGTGCCTAGAAACAGAATAATAACCTTAACCAAGGGTTGAAACATATGTTCTAAGTCGTAACTGACTGTATTATAATGTCCTCCAATGGCAGGACTCACAAGGCAGTTGTGCACAACACCACGGGAGGCGCTCATCCTTTTGCACCTTGGGAGTAGATTCTAGATACTCTGAAGCAAAACTTTTGCACTGCTGCCGCCAGTCAATGACACGTGTCAAAACAGGGGTTGGCTGAACATATGGCCCCTAGGACACAAAATGCACACAAAACGCGTTCAGAACTCTGGCGGCACACGTCAACGAATGGACCGCTTTCCCTTCAGGCCCAAAACTCTCCTACGTTTGGCCGGCTATCTTTGCAAGCCAGCATGCCGCTGCGCGCAGCTTGATTCGTCAGCCATGGGCCCACTGCAGCTACCTAGGCCTCACTCCGATTGCTTGATCCTAGCTTCTCTTTGTCCGCGCGCAACTGCGTCAAGTCTGATTGAAGCTGCTTCTTTTCAGCAGTGCTGTCCACGCGGCACTGCGTCAAGTCTTTCTCTGCGGCATCGAGTTTTTGTTGACACTGCTTCTTTTCAGCAGTGCTGTCCGCGCGGCAGTGCGTCAAGTCTTTCTCTGCGGCATCGAGTTTTTGTTGAAGCTGCTTTTTTTCAGCAGCGCTGTCCGCGCGCAACTGTGTCAATTCTCCTCCCAGCTTCTCTGTTCGACCCTTTTCTACCCAAAGGGCAGAAACACACGCAAGCAACACGGCTGCCATAAGCGCATGCGTGAGCTGCTTCGCAAACCTAGGCTTTTCCGGTCGCCGTAGCGCCGGAGCCCCGTTGCCCTGATCCTCTTTGCAAGTTAAGCTGCA